CATTGATCAGCCGGTTCCCGTCTGGACTCAGACACTCGCACATGCCCTTCACTCTCTCTCACACACACATACACACTTACACACACTTTCTATGCAAAAGTAAGAGGCCACCCTTCATTTATTAAATTTCAAGCCAAAACAGCCACACATAAGGGCAAGTTTCTTTTTTCAGAAGATATTTCTGAGAAGATTAGATATGACAATCTACTTGCATAAGGAAGAGGAAAGTCAAAGGAAAATATGTGGAAAAAAAACAGGAGTTTTCAAAAGTGGATCTTTTAAAATGATTAAAAGATGAAGAAAAAATGGGACTCTTCACAACTGCGCAAGACCTTGTAGGCCCACCAAAACTGTCCCCATCAGATAAACAGAACTTAAAGCTTTCATCTTTAAGAGAGAGGAGAAAAACAAGCTCCGCTCTTGATTAAGATCTTAAAACTCTTAAAAACTGTGAGAAAACAGCTCAGCAGTGTGAGTCTGAAAGAATGTGTAGCTGTCAAGAAGCTGTTACTGAGAAAAAGTGCATTCAACTGCTGAAGCTGGACATCTGAGAATGTGTGATGGAGCGGACTGATGAGTCTAAATTTGTAATTAGGATTACTCAGATAATGAAAAGAAGAAAACAGAAAATGCAACCAACTTCTATGAGCTGTTGAAAAATATCCCTGTAGATTTCTTTGAAAAACTGTAAATAAGTCTGCTGAAAAGAATGGAAGCTGTAATAAAATCAAAGGGTGGACACAGTAAGCGCTGAAAAATTGATGTATCTAGTTGTTGAGGCTTGTGTGTAATTTCTGTTAAACATATCGCTGTTGTCAGAAGAAAACCTTGTATCTCCAAAATGATAACTTTACAGGAGAAGGAAAAAAACCTGCTTTACTTTTAATGTAAGTCAGTGGAACCAGACATCTTTCCAAGTCATTTTGGATCATTTCTTGTAGTCCATTCATCATAAAATTTACATGTAAAGGGCAACAGGTTTTTCAAATTATGTCAAAAACTGGAAAACGTTAAAAACTGAGATACAAGGTTTTCTTCTGACAACAGCGATATCCTGTCTTTTCCTCACACTGAAAAATGAATACATTTTTTTAATGAAATATCATTTTGGATGGGAATTAAATAAATGAAGGGTGGTCTCTGACTTTTTGCATGTTTTTAATGTTCTCTTCATTGGACATGACACACTCCTTTTTGCTATGTACACACACACACCTGCACATTACACCCAAGTCTCCACCCTGCCCCACACACACACACGTCTTGGCTTCTGTGCCCCAGACCTGATTACTTTCGATGAGAGGAGAACCCCGCCAGCATGTTAAACTCTCCACAGGCAATCTGTCTCTAGTCCATGCACACACATGTTCACATATGCCAGAACATAGTGACCTGCTGTGAGATCATTTTTAATGTAAATATTCACATGAAAATAAATAACAATTCGTAAAGCATAGGAAACAGTTTAATCTCATTTAATTAATAAAGGAAGCAGAGTCTCAGTGAGCGCTGCATGGCTATCTGCCCATACTTTAATAGCCTCTCTCTTTAAGTTGATGGCCACTTTAAAGCGTTTTAGGTGTCACCTCATCAGCTTAATTGAGGCTGTGGCCAGCCTGGTAATAAAGGCATCTACCCCCTTGTTTCTGTAATTAAAGGAATGCCACTATTAGGTCTGTTTTGTATTATCTATGTTTTGTGTTAATAAGACAATGTGTAGACTTCTTGGTTTATTCATGAGCTCTACTGGGCTGTTTTCACCCAGCTAACAAACTGCACCGAAGAGATCATCATCCGGTGTTTGTTTTTGTTCCTGAAGATGTTTTGCATAGTGGTCTAAATCATATTCTGCATAATTTTAAATAATAAGCAAGCTTAGAAGAAGGACTGTCTGAGTTGCAATCAAGCCACAAATAGAACTAGATGATAAAAAATAGAATAGAAAAATAACCACAGAGACCAGAACATATTAAGCTTAGGATGGAAGTCTACTCCAAGGACGAGCCTTTGTGTGTGGCATAAACGGTCAGACAGCGGACAGGCTATTGTTGAATCCCTGATGTCTGAGCTTATAAAGACTCACTAAAAGGCAACTTTTACACAGTAAAGACCAGTGCAGTGTTGGCTTACAGGTGATAAATTTCCCATTTTACTTGGACAGCCCCTCTAAATTATCTACAGATGGGTGAGGATTACAGTTCAGATTAAGTTCTTAGTTAGATTTAGGATCTCAGTGAGTATAGCAATTATGTAAATTCATTTAATAATATATTAGAATGTAATATATAGAAGACCAAAATTAGACTTTAGTATTCTATTTGTCATGTTATGCAGTGCAGCATTGTGTCCCTGATCCTTGTAGATTTGACAGATTTCACGATTCTATATCATTATCATGTTTTCGTTCATCAGTTCTCAATACCCAGCATGCAGTGCACAAATACAAATACATCATATTAGGGGTGTGGGAAAAAATCGATTCTTAGATGCATCGCGATGCGGACGTGAACGATTCTGAATCGATTCACAAATGTCAAAAATCGATTTTCTAAATATTTAATTTATAACGTAATGTTGGCGGAACGCAAAAGGTGGAACTTGGAAGTGGGTAAGTGCAGCGCCCGGACAGTCTGTGGCGGCACATAACAAAAACACTACTGGATGAGCGAGAAATCCGACCGGCTCCCTCTGCATTAAAGCCAGGTCAGGTCAGGAGTCACAACACAAATGTTAAGAAGAGCCATTTTGTCCTTTCAACAAAAATCAAACATTTAATGTCCAGTATGTGTCAGTATGTGCTAGTAAAGGCTAAACAATATAAACAAGAGCGCAGATTTACTTTGCTCTGCTTTAAGCTTCGCCTACAGCCGCTTTCCTCCCATTTCCACCAGAAAACTTTTCCTCAAAACTAGAGCAGTTTCTTGTAAAATGTCTCTCAACATTCGGCTGTCTTACGAGGCTGAAGTCGCTTCTCATTCTCCAGCTTCTTGTTCGAATTTTCCCGTTCCACCTTAAATTCTGACTGAGGCGCCGAATGTAAATGCAACACCATTTAAGGTGGAACGACAAATTCGGAAGAGAAGCGACTTCATCTTTGTGACTTTTTACTGTTTGACAGTCTCTCGTAGCAGATTTAACTTGCCAGGAAACCAAGTGCGCTACTTATAAATGCGAATAACGCATCGTTGCTATGTGACCTGCAGTCTGCACGGCAATTCTCAGTCATTGTGAAACAGGGCTTTCGCGCTATGCTGCACACGACCCGCCTCAAAGATATTTTACTGACACAGCGATCCCCCCCGTCTCTACAACGAGACCAAAACCAAAGTTATAAAGTCACTAAAAATGGGTAGGACGGCTGTAACGCGCTACGTGGACATCCACTGCCACTGGATCTTGTTTCACCGTAACTGCATTTTATCACAGATGAGTGGCAGCAGCGTCTCATGTGCTCCAAAGGCAGTGAATGAGAGCCTTATAGTTCACTTGCCACACCACTTCCATTTGATTTATTAATAAAAGACATTGGAAGTAAATTCATTATGGATCATTACAAATACTTTGCTTTAAAACTACCAAGTCCTCACACAGTGAGAAAATAGAGATGATGTATAGAAAAAAAAGATGCATCAAGATGCATCGATAATCGTTTTATAATCACATTGCAGCCCTCTGAATCGTAATCGAATCGTCAGGTGCCTAGAGATTCCCACCCCTACATCATACACACCTTGGGAATCGCAGTGGTGTTAACCAATCCTGACTGCTAGCTTACACTGTGGGCTAAAAATTTTCACTGTCAAAGTGCTGTAAAAGGTATTCATCTATTTTTTCTGTTTTTTGAATCCAGAATAAACCATATATATATATATATATATATATATATATATATATATATATATATATATATATATATACTATGTTGTTACTTTTCAGAAATATAGAATGTAAATTCACAAAAACAACTATCTTTATTTCATAAACATTTGCATTTATTTTATTGGTTGTTACTGTTGTTATTATTATGGTAAATACTGTATCTCAGAAGTGTTGAACTACAGTAAAATACAGTATTTGTAAGTAATGACTATAATTTCAGACTTTTACCATCATTGAGTGTGTTTACATGCTTTCAATAATCCGATCATAATCGAATTTCTGCAGTTATCTGATTATTCAAATGGTCGTGTAAAAAGCGTACTCTGATTTCTTAGACCAGAGTAAGATGTAGAAATCCGATTAAGAAATCTGATAAAGAGAGCTGGATTTTTGCTCAGTAATCCGATTTCTTGCTGCATGTAAACTCTTACTCAGATTTCTTTCGGATTTCTCAGTCTGTGCATGTGCATAAGCAAGCAGCCTTGCCGCGAGATGGCAGCAAAACACTTTTGGAGTGACGCTGATTCTGACTACATGCTAGACAAAATTAAGGATTTAAATATTCATCTTGTAGATGATGTTTTTTCATATTTTCAGATAAAATTGCGCAATGCTTTTTGAAAAAACGGGCGGCATGAAGTTTACATCTTCTGTAAGTTTTCTTCTGTGACTCATGTAGACCCGGAGTTTCTCCATTATCTGATTACTCAAGTGCATGCAAATGCCTTGATCGGATTACTGACAAAATCTGATTTTCTGCTGTTATCAAATTATTAAGTGCATGTAAACGCACTCAGTGACAAAACATGCTGTTATTGTTAATCAGCGGGTTTTGTCTGGCATCCCTGCAACAAGATATTCAAGTTTTGTAGCAGTAAAATTAGCTTCTGTGTTCATTAGCTAATGGGAAGAATAACATTTCAAAGACCACACCCACAAAAATCTCCCCCAAAACAGTTTCAAAAGTTCCTCCTACATTCAAGGTACATCATCAGAAAGAGGTTTTTCTAATCTTTAAATCCAAAAATGTCAGTCTAGAGACTTCCTGCAGTCACTATTCTTGTCTCTTCAGTGGAGAAAGAGTTCACTGTGTTTACTCTGTGTTTATGTTGTCTTCACAGTGGAGATCATAAGGTGGTCCTGTCTCTGCTGGCTATTCTCTCTCTGCTGTTGATCTTCCTGCTCGTCCAGCGTCGTTGTTCTCTGGTGTCCAAGATTGCCCTGGCTCTCGGCCTCCTGGGAGTTTACAGCTACCGTGCTGCAGTCGGCAACGTCCTGTTCCCATGGCAACACTCGGGCCGGTCCATCTCCAAGTAAGTTCGGACGCATTGGAATATGGTATTGACAGCTGTTGAGTGGCAGATGTTGTTGAGGTCGTGCTAAGAAGATGCCAGACTATTCTTGTTAATAACATTTGACCCATTTATGTGCTCTAATGAGCTCTGTCTTTTTGGCTGTTTTCCTGAATAATAATCTTCTTCTCCATCCTCGTGATTAGTATGTACTGTCTGATGTTGGAAAGTTACTCTAGAGGTTAGGCGATTGCACTCGAGGAAGAGGCTGTAATTAGCCTTGTTTCCGATTCTTATTACAAGAACTACAAACACTCCGAGAGTGTGTTTGGAGAGTATGGAAATCATGCCTGAAAGAGGTCTCCACTCAGACTCGCGAAGGCAGCGCATTGTGTGCTGCTGTTTAGTGCGTTAAGCGGAAAAAACGCTTTTGATTATCCTGAATTGGAAATCATTGGAGTCTATTATTACCCTGATTATAGGCCTTTGCTGGAATCAGGAAGAGTTGAGTCAGAAGGCCAGTCTTTTGGTTTCCCCCTGCGTTTAGTCCTCATTAGTCTGAACTGATTCACTTGTAGCATTCTGTCACGTACGTTCGTTCCCCCACACATGCGGCTCTAATAGTGCTAAACACACAAAGACATGCGCACTTTCTTAGTTTTCTCTCTCACACCCCCATATTACGTTATTATAGCACATGTACGCGCCTCACTGCCAAGACAAAGCAGCACTTCTCACCTTTTCCCCTTGACATTTTCTCTCACCTAATTAAAACTTTGACCTTTCGCCCTTCCTGCTGGGCCACCAGCTGTGTTCTCTTCCTGACTCTCCGTACAGCAGAGAGAGAGAGAGAGAGAGAGAGAGACCAAAAGAGAGAGAGGAGGCATAACTGACAGCACCACCCGTGCCACCAGAGCCACTCGCTCATTCATTAATCACTACCGGACGTTGTTTATGTTGCCCCGGCAACCTCTGCCTTTTCTATTAAGTTGATGTCTGCAGCATCCTGTCCCTCCGCACTCTCTGTCCATTTAACTGAGGATGGGTGTAGTTGTAATAGTCTCTCTCTCTCTCTCTCTCTCTCTCTCTCTCTCTCTCTCTCTCTCTCTCTCTCTGTTCTTCCTCTCACTCTCACACTCTCTCTCTCTGCTTTTCTTCTGTCTCGCTCTCTCTACTTTTCCTTTCTCTCTCTCTCTCTCCCTCTCACCTCTCTCTCTCACTCTGTCGGCCACTTGCTCTGTGTCTTTGTGGGTTTTTTTTTCCCCCAGTTCAGTGGTGCTTGTTTGGCATGACTGTAATAAGATACACTATTGCCAAAGCAGTTTGCAAGAAGCACGTTAACATAAATAAAAGAAAGCAGCTCTGTCTGCACCACTGCAAGCTCAGAGAGAGTGCACAGTCTGGCTTGTTTGGGTAACCAGCTCTGTCTGCACTGGCCAGTTCAGTGGCCAGACTGTGCTCACTGAGTCTATACATCATCTGTACTTCACTGTTTTTGTTGTTCTTTTGTAGCTTCAGTCCAACAGGTGACATAATTGTGTTTTGGTCACTCCATTTTCTCTATCACCTCACTCTCTCTCTCTCATTCTGTCTGTCTGCTGTTCCTCTCACTGTCTTCATCTCTCTCTCACTCTCTGTCATCATCTCTTTCTCTATCTGTCCTTCTTCTCACCTTCTGCCCTCCTTTTCTCTCTCTCGCTCTATCTCTCTCTCTCTCTCTCTTTCTCTCTCTCTTTCTCTCTTTCTCTATGTCTTCATCTCTTTTTCTCTTTGTTCTTCCTCTCACCAACTGCCGCCCTCCCCACTTTCTTTCTCTCATTCTCTCTTTCTGTTCTTTCCACTGGCCCTTGGCTTCCTCTCTTGGTGGAGAGTTGGGCCCAATCCCATTTCACCCCTTGCCCCTACCACTTAGCCCTTAGCCCTCTGTTTTGCACATTCACGTCTAGGGTTAGGGTGTCCCAATTTTTGTTGAGATAGAGGGGTAGGGCTTAGGGCTATAGGGCTATATGTTAGGGCTATATGGCCCTCTAAACAGAGTTTTTTCAGAGGCACACTCTAAACAGAGTGTTATGAGAAAAAAAAGAAAAACTGGCGAGATGGCTGCGCGAGCGACCAAAGAAACCCACAAATGTAAGTATTTTCTCCATTAAAAAATTACGAATACCATTGCAGTGTCTTAGTATAATATATTATATTATAATATATTATATTAGGTCGTTTTCTTCGTAACAAGCATAAAAATCGCTAAAAGTATGCTAATGTCTCGGTAGCTAGCTAGCTAACTTTCCCGTTCCACCTTAAATAGTCCAGCAGTATTGACAACTGAAGCGCCAGAATGTAACTGCTGCAACATTTAAGGTGAAACAGGAAAATTCGAACAAGAACCTGGTGAATAACTGACTTCAGCTTCGTAGCACCAAAGAATTAGCGGTAGACGATAATAAATAATTGTCTTATACTCCCTCTTTGAAAGCATACGATGCCCTAAATGTAACTAGAGCCCAGCAGCGAGGTTGCTGAACTTTTCCCTTCTCTGCTATCACTGAAGACGGGCCGGGTTGCCTACAGAGCACCGCTAGTAGCCTTTTAATGAAGCGATGTTTTTTTTTTTTTTAATTTGAGTGTTGTCCCATTTCGTAGGGCAAGATTTCAACCACTACCCTTTGTAACTCTGTTCCAAGGGGTTAGGGTGACACTCAAAAAACAAGGGGTCGAGGTAAAAAGAAGAAATGAAAAGAAGAAAGTTTGGAGTCCTCCATCATCTCTAAACCATATTGGTTAAGGGTCAGTGAGTTTATTACTAATGTTCTCTGACTTTAGTTTATTATCACTATCAGCTGCTGATGGACTCCACCCTTCACTAATGAAATATGCATGGTCTAGTAGCTGTGTGTTCGGTCCTGAAAGCGATAATGATTGATGTGTAAGCCTAGACCACAGCAGGCACTAAACATCACCTCCTCTTTACCTTCTGCGCCATCATTCCTGCACTGTCTGTGTTTATTTTTTACTAAGACATCAATAAAACAACCAGGAAATCTGTGTGGAAATATGTTCTTTCTCATCTGTGCGGCACAGCTTTCTTATTTATTTTCTAAGGTTTTATATATGTGTGTGTGTGTGTGTGTGTGTGTGTATATATATATATATATATATATATATATATATATATGCAGTTTACTAAAGGCGGCATTTTATAGATGAGGATGTTTCATTTCTCACTCTTACTGGACTGTGATATTCTTCTGCACAGAGATCAGTTACTGAATCCGGCCAGTGGTTATTGATTATGATAAGAAAAATAAATGGATAGATAATGGTGCTAAATTATTTGAAGTGAAAGAGAAGAGCGTAATGTAGTTATAAATGAAACATACTCGCGGGCTAATTCTCACATTTTTCTATTAAGATCAGGAAAAAGGTAGTTTTCCATTAGATTCAGGTCTAGTTTAATATAAAGGTATAAACTTTAGTATCAATTCCAGATATCATTTAATTTCTTCAATGAGATGTAGATCCAATGCAGATTCACTTTTGTATAGATTAGCTTAGAATTTGGTTGAGGCGACAGAATATGCTTGATATGACAGCACTACACATGTTCCTTGCTTTGATTTTGCACACACTTGTTAGGGTTCCCTTAGAATAGCTAATGCAGCATCCTAGTTTTTACCTGCTTCTTCCATATGTTTTAGTTATGTGAGTGCAGACTGTTTTGGAATCGTTTAATTTGTATAAGGTGGAGAAACAACACTTCTCCATTGAGGATGCGAGCCAGGCCTTAAACATCGTTACTGAACACCCCAGCATGTGGTATTTACTTCATTTGAAATAGATTTTGTGTAAACAAGAAATTTTAATGAAGAAGATGATTTAATATGCATAGAACTCATTTTCAGAGTCAATCTCATTATATATACAAGTCGCAAGAAGAATCACTGCATGTAAATATGGTCACTGATGTTATGTGCAATTAATTACACCTTCTTTGCTTCTTGTTTGTTTGTTTGTTTGTTTTTTTTTTGTTTTGTCCTCATCCCCACCCCCCCTTTCCATTCTTTCACTGGTGTCATGATGGAATTGGTTTGGCTGGTGGTCCCAGAACAAGTTCTGACAATTCTATTTCAGGCACATTGTTGTTTGCTTTGCCCCCTACTAGGATGTCAGCAGTTTCCTCTTTTCAAATATCTCTGTTTTTTTACCTCTCACGACTTTCAAACTGAAATTACAGCAAAAAGTGGAGCAGCTGACTCAAGCAGGGAGCAAACGTGCTCTGTGCAAAGAAACAAATGAGGAGGTGCCCTCACACCATGATTCAAGCTAGCTGCCTGCATTTTCCTCCTCATTCAAACCTTTTAGAATGCAAGACGATGAAAATCCTTGGTAGATGGTAGTAAGTGATGATTGCATGCCCGCCTATAACTGGACGATACTGATCAAATGAAACAGCTTCCCCTGCTTTTCTAAGAGAATACGTCCTCTCTGCAGTCTGCCTTTGGTAAAAGAAATATAGTGATATTCCCTGCACATCTCTACATGTGTCTGGTCATCCATAATGTGAGCTAATTAATTCATCTTAGGATGAACGCCAACTGTCAGTCAAAGCCTATATATTCATCCCACACTGGAATGGAGCTGAAAGTAATCATCTACCGCTCCCTATATACATCCTTAAAAAACCTTGGACAGTGAATGGCTCCTGTAAATGCAGAGTAGGCACGGCTTCAGTGTCAGTGTAAGAGCGAGTGGGTGGTGATGCCTGTAGGATTCTGCTAGTCTAACATATGTAAAGAACCATGTCTGTTAGAACATCCCCGAACAGGCAGCCGCCTACACAGTGTCTCAAGCCACACTGACTGCTTGGCTGAGTGCTTTTTGCTTCTTAAGGTTCAGTTCTCTGGCCATTCCATACTAGGCATGACTGGGGTACCCTACAGCATTTCCGCTCCTGCAGTTTTGGGGTTCTTGCCTTATTAGAGCTTTAATCGGACCTGAAATATTGGTCCAAACTGGCTTGACGA